GCGTAAACCAGCAAGTAGCGAGGCATGCCGGTCTCGTACAGGTGCAAGCCGTAACCTCGCAAGGCCATGGCCGTAGCCTCAGCTGACGAAAAGACGGCCTCGCTGTTGCACTGAGCCTCGTTCTGGAGCCAAACTAAGAAAGCGCGGAAACTCTTGGTCATCTTGTGAGCCGTGCTGGCTGCAAAGCCATCCTCCAAGTTCAAAGGGCCTCGGGGCTGTGGCTTGCTCAGGAGAGGCCCAGGATTCCTTTCGATGTCACCTGCTAAAAGTAACAGGAACCGCAACCATCGCGCAGGGTTGCGCGGGACCCTCGCCGACTCGACCACAGTCTCAAAGCGGCGGGTGTCTCCCTTCAGCAGTTCGATGAGCCACCGTGCCATTTCCCGGCTGGGAGGCGCTACGTCCTTGCCACGGCTCGGCGGATCAGCAACGTTGTCCTGCGAGTAACAGTGTAACAAACTGAAGTAGATACCCGACCCGAGCACATACCCCAAGGAACCCTGAAGAACCCTACTAATGGCGAAGCTGCTGCTTCGACCCTTTGCCGCGGCCCCGATGGTGACGCGCGAATCAAGAATGGCAGTGGCGCGAATGTTATGCGAACGGCGGGCTACGCTCTTAACCCAACTCTTAAACACCCGTGCCTCGTTGACATTGATATGACCGGGCTTTGCAAAGGTGTACCTAAACAGCTCCCTAAACCGCAAAGACCGACACAGCTCGGAGATCCACTCAGGGTCCTCGTGCCACTCGCGAGGAGCGTAGGGCTCATCACCCGGCTCTTGCCGCAAGAAGTTGAGGCCACAGTCAACGTTAAAGCGCTTGGCAGTGTACTCACGAGCGGCCCAGGGCATGCGTGGCACATACCCACGAGCGGCGGCAGCAGAACCGGCGCCAAGACGACTGGAAAGTCCGAAGGGCAGCTCTTCAGAGAAAACGGCTGTTGACAGGCCAACTTCAGGGCCTCGCTCAAAGACCCGGTCCACAGACGGGGTGCAGCGATCCTCGAAAGCAGCAACGCTCTCTGCCGTGAACTGGCCCCAGCAGGGCCAGTGGGAGACATTGCCACTGCACTCGCATGAGCGTTCCAGTGTACACAGCCAGGGCTTGTTGTGCAGGACTTCGGTCTCTTGCAAGAAAGGGCTTCCGAAGCCGCAGTGGCAAAACCGCGTCACCACGCAGCCCAAGCTCACCAAAGTGCGGAAACAGTTCAAGCCCCAGAGTTTGGCCCGAGCAGGTTTAGCTACCGAGACCATCTGGGCGCAGCGGAGAGCAACCGAGAAAACGAAGCTCACAAGCCGCAAGCTTGAGCGTCCCTGCTTCCACTGCCGCGCCAGAGCACGAGGCACTGTGCAATGCCACTCTCGGACGACTCGCCTCAAAGCCAGAGCACAAAGTTCGCGAGCGACTGCTGCATCGAACCGCGGTGGCCCATCGGCTTCTGACACAACTACAAACTCCTTGTAAAGAACCCGAAGACCAAAACCCTCTAGGGCGGAACCCCAAGACCTACGGCCGGACTGCAGGACTACCGCATCGAAAAGGACTCCTTCAGCAAGAGGTCGGGGCACGTAAGGGTCAAGAGTAGGATGTTTACACAGAGTGTCAGGCAGAACAGTTGAACCCCCAAACAACTTGTCCCCTTCGTGAGGGATACCCTTTTCAGTGAGAATTGCAGAAACCTCAGACTCAAGCCTCGTGTGGTAGCCCCTAAGTTCCCCGTGTCGCCACAGCTCGGCTGCAGCTTGGGCCCCCACGTCGGCAGCGCACACCGCTCCACCGAAAGGAGAAGCATCGAGACAGTACAAGCTTGAATCGTACGAGGCTCGCAAGTCCACATTGAGCAAGGGAAACAAGCAGCTGAGCATCAACAACTCGTTCCGACTCTGGTCACTCAACTTAAAGACGCCGTTTCGGAGGACGCCCTGCCCTTCACGGAACAATGCATCTACAACCGAAAACACAGGCCGCCTAAACATCAACAAGTGAACCCAAGAACCCAGCAAGCGGTCAAGCAGCTCCCTGGTCGCGTGACCGCGTTTTGCAACAGCAGCGGACACCAGTGAGAGTGCTAAGGTCCGGTCGCGCGGTGGTCCCACGACGCCTTTGACTCCGTCAATCTCGGCTCCTAGGACTGTCCCTTGCGTCAAGTTACGCCGCTTCTTACTGTCATTCAACACAAGGCCAACATGCTTATAGCTCTTAGTTGCATTTGAGAAAATGACGGTGTCACGCAAAGCGGGCGCTTTCACAAGGTTTTTGTGGAGAACCTTTTGGAAGCACACATGATCATCTATCGCTAGAAGTTCGATGGTGTCACCTTTGGGAATTGGCTGCCTATACACTAAGGCTTCTCCAGGCAACAGTGCTCCACAGTGTTGCCGTAAGATGGCGTAATGTGCAGCTTGTCCCACTTCAACCGACAGGCTGTCGCCCATAGCCATGGTGTTCAAAGCAAGAACTTGGGGGCCGCTCATCACAACATCACGTGCGGCTCGTAAGTGGCGCAATTCACTCGGTTCAAACAAACAACGAATGCTGTTACGCTGAGCACGCTCTGGAGAAATCATGTATGTATAATAATAATCGCTTAAATCATCCGCTTGGAACCTAAGCGCCTCTTGGGGTTGCAACGACAGCAACGTCAAAAGAGAGCCTGGTGCAAGTGTTTTAGAGTATTCCGAAATGGAGTAAGACCGGGCATTGCTGACGCGAGGGTTTATGATCAAGCGATCATGGGTAGCAGATTTTCCTACAGCAAACAAGCCAACGGTTTCACTCCACTCGACTCCGGAAGCGGGCGCGATTACAACCGAACCTAACCTATCCCATCTTTCCGCAAGCTTCAAAAGCTCATCCTTTGAACAATGCAATCGCGCGGGCGGAACATCCACCCACTCTTCCTCCGGACGGCGAAGCACTGACGGATGCTCGAACGCAAGCTTAAGGTGAGGGCTGAGGTAAGGGGCAGGTTGAAAACTAGGACCGTGTTCCCACTTGATGCGATCGGCAACCACTGGCAAGGCTGTGTCACCACGAAAGTCCACAAACTGCTTCGGGACCTGAGCCTCTGTCACTGAACCGGCACTACTGCTAAAATCGGGATTAGGGCACTTAAGGCAATCATAGGGAAGGAGGGAATCATGCACGCAAGAGGCCCAACCTAGGAGGTCCACACCCACTCGGTCAGCAGGCAGTTCCTCGACTACTTGAGTAAGGCTCCTTAATTTATCAGCCGCACGACCCAGATCCCCAGCTGCAAAAGTTGGCATGCACAGCACATGGTCAATGTGCTCCTCCAGGCGCTCCAGCACACGCTCTTGGGCACTACTAAGGTAACCGCCTACACGGGCATTCGGGGGCGCACGACGGGGATGACCTAGAGTTTCCCAGTTTAAGGCGCACACCAAAAGCTGCAGCAGCTGAGCACGGAGTTTGAGCCGTCGGCGACGGCGCTTGAATTTGCGACCGCTTCGGGTGCATCCCATCCATCGCCACCGAGGTGGTGGGATAGGCCATAGATCGCCCCCTGAGGGAGCAACCTTCACATCGCAGGCACGGTTTGCTAAGGAGTCCCGAACAAACCAACTAAGACAGGAATTACAACTATAAAAACCCCCAATAAGCTGGGATACTAATTCAAGGGGATCGATCTGCTCTGTGCGTTGCGAATCGAAACTAGGCAGCTCGGCGGGCCTTCGGCCGCATGCAGAAAAACACTTGTCCGGACTTCCTGCAGCACCTAAAGGACACCCCGAAATGCCTAAAACCCCTAGCTTGCTGTCTCGTTTTTCGGGCGCCTGGGCCTGGGCCTTCGTGGCGGCTTCTCCCCGGTGCCGGCGTCGTCGGTCTCCTGGTTCGGATCTGTCGGTGCCGGGGCGCGTGGTGGCCCTTGTGGGGTACCTCGGCTGTTTG